ATTTTGTGGGACATATTTCTTTTTACTCTTTAAAGCACAAAGTTGACCTTTTATGAGAAATGTTTTATAGATCTCAATTTTCTATTTTTTTCTTTTTTCCCCCTGGGACATACCCAGCGAGACTCAGGGGTTACAGCTGGCTCTGCACTCAGGCATTACTCCTGGTTATGCTTGGTCAACCATATGGGATGCTAGAGATTGAACCTGGGTCTGCTATTTGCAAGGAAAACAGTCTAACTGCTGTACTATCACTCTGGCCCCTCAATTTTCTATTTCTAAAAATTAAAATGGTATTTAGAATTAAAAATACAAGGGAAGTAGTCTGTAGAGATAGAGACACGGACTGGTGCCTCTCTGTGTTTTCCTTTTTGAGAAGCACCTTTGTGGTGAAATAGTAATTTAGAGCTCTACAGAATCCTATCTTAAATCTGAATCTGACAGGATGATATCACTTATCTATGATACATAGAATACCTGGACAAGGAACTGTAATGTAGTAAGGGGGGATACCTAGATCAGCCTTGATCTTGGAGTACAGGGAGGAGAAGGACAGACAAGGAAAAAAAATCAAGGGGGGAAGGAAGAAGCGAAAGGGAAGTAATAGGAGAAGAGGGGCAAAGGGACCTGGGTATCCCAGTGATGTGAAGAGTGAAATAGCTGTGTATCCAAAGCACATACTCAATAGCATTGAAGACATGAGATCTAAACTACAACCATACAACCTTTAAATGTGCCTCAAGATGATAGGTGGGGGACAGGAAGAAAGAACACTGGTAGTAGAACTGAGGTCAAAAATACTACATTCCTAAAACTCTATCACTAACTTTGTGAATCACGGTTCTTTAAATAAAATTTTTTTTATAAAACTAACAAAAATAATATTAAAAAAAGACTGTGAGAGGAGAATCGCATAACAATTATATCTGAGTTTCTATAGCATGTGACGGTGATTCCTGCTTCATTCGTTGGCATGGCTGTTGAGATGGAGTCTTAGAATTTCCTTGCTATAAAGTTACATGAGAACTTGAACCCATTTGCTAACTTTTTCAGGTTAATGGGGGGGGGGAGTATTGCCACACTATAAAAGCCCCCTTCTTCCCATAAACTGAGATTTCATGAAATGAGACTGCTCAAGAAACCTCTTTTCAACTTGAGCACATATTTACATTTCTGGGTTTATTCTCTCTATTATACTCCTGCTACTTATTAAAGGATGTAGGTAGGAAGATCAGCAGACAAGAAATGGAAGAAGACTGTAAAAGATATCATAGTATGAGATACTGTGAACTAGAATATATGTGTAGATATACATAAAGAAATCATGGTCATGATCCTCCCGTTGTTCATCGATTTGCTCGAGCGGGCCCAGTAACGTCTCCATCGTGAGACGTTACTGTGTTATTGTTATTGTTACTGTGTTTGGCATATTGACTACATCACGGGTAGCTTGCCAGACTCTGCCGTGTGGGCGAGATACTCTCCGTAGCTTGCCGGGCTCTCTGAGAGGGGCGGAGCAATCGAACTCGCGTAGGCCATGTTGGCTGCGTGCAAGGCAAATGCCCTACCCACTGTGCTATCGCTTCAGCCCATACATATAGAAATATGTGTATAATTTTACCCTTTGAACCATATCTTGAGATACAGTATTGTTTACTTACATGATATCAGATAAGATTATGGAGTTAATAAATTCTTCTAAAATATAATGAACGAATTATGCTACTTTCTCAAAGTATTGCTTTGAACCACAAAGGAAGACTACCAAAAGACACTTGTAGTTTTTCCAGAAGAAATGTAGAAATACTGTTTTAGTAAGTAAAAAGTTATATTAATGTAGCCATGCAAATTGTAAAATCACCCCTTTTAATGAATTTACAAATTACAAATTATTCCAACTAGAGCTGTTTCCACTTAGATCTGTGGATAATACCACACCACCATCCTCACCAGCGGGCACTGGAATGACCCATGGTGGGTGGCAATGGGGTTGGGAGCTGCTTTTTGTCTGTTCTCTTAGAAAAGCTAGATTTCCGGAGGGCACTGAAAAATTTTTGTTTTTTCTTGACAGAGGGTGATAGGCCAAAGAGGTAGAGAATCTCTGTCTTAGACATATGTAAGGTATATTTGGTGATGATGATTGGTTTGGTCATTGAACACACTTCAAAGACACTAAAATATTGTTTAGTGAAACTATGTTCACACACAAAAACACCAAATTACTAATTAGTCTTCAAAGAATTTAACTTTGGAAGTTTCAACACTGAACAAGTGTTTAAGTAATATCAAGCAACAAAGGTTATTTTGTACAGCAAGTGTAAAACCCGTTGAATTTAACAGAAACATGTAGGCTTGATTACATTTCCTACAAGGTTTATAAATCCTGTTGTGATTTTTATATAGACACAATTTATTGTTTGTGGATCTGAAATGCCTGCATAGAGTCCCAGAAAAAGGAACTCCAATTGTGAAATAAAAGCGTAGGAGCACTGAAATATTCCATCAATGTGGTCTGATTCTCTCTGCTACTTTAGTGGATCTTATTTAATACAGACTGGTTGCTACTGATTTTAGTTATTTAGAACCAGACGGAAGAAACTACAGAAACAGTCACATATGATATATGCAAATGGAGATGACAAATAGAAAAATCATATACATCTAAACTTTATTATATTGGCCTCTTTTAACTTCCCCATCAACACATTTATCAAAGTGTTTTTAAACATTGACATTTCACTGAATCAACCAGAACAGAATTCCAATTTTGAAATCTGCAGACTGTTAAACAACAACGCTTGCTTTTCTTTGCTCACTTCTAACTTCTATAAGAAAACAAGAAAAAAAAATCCCCAGGCTTACTCCTTTTTCTGTTTTCTCTATGTCTTTCTCTTTATGTGTGGCTAAAGGATGTCTGGAAAGTTATAGGGTCTCAGTATTGTACTGTGCATACATAGCATTCTGGGCCACTATTGAGTGGTGGTGTGAAATTAGATTTTGCAGGGGAAAGTGGTGTTTTATTTGACTATTTTTTGTTTTCAGTGATAGTGATATATGGTTGAATTTTAAGATCTTTATTCATTTGTTAGGGAGGGGAAATATTCTAATACTGAATTATCCATCTCATTAAGTCTCAAGTAAGCATTCAATAAGTCACCAATAGGAGCATCAAATATATGAAGGCATGTGCTGGTACTTTAAATCTGCAATTGCTTTCTAAAGTGAATTTGTTATCTACCTTCATCGGCTGTATTAAGAAATGGCAGGCCTAAGAGGGAAGTAACTATATTGTCAGGAAGGGTCAAAACTTCTTTCCTGTGAAAGGATAGCTCAGTGTTTAGAATACTTTTGCTAAGGATGACATCTGGTAATTCACTTACCGGCAGTTCTTGGTGGAGAGAAGGCTACCAGGACCACCCCTGAGGATGAGTATGGGGCCATGTAGTGCTAGAGATGGCCTCACCCAATACCAGGCTTATGTTCTATCACTTGAGCTACTCTGCAGCCATAAAATATTTTGGATAGAATGAATGAACTAATTCAGAATGAGTAAACTAAATAAGAGAAGCAAAGGGTTTGCCCCTGACTTCTCAGTCTTGAGTCCTTGTATTTCATAGTTTATAAGCATAAACACCAATGATCTAAATATAAAGCTTGCTGCACTACCATTAAGGGTGACATTTAAGGTAGACACTAACAGACGCTTATATTTGAGGCCTGTTAAAGCAATGAAGAATTTGTATAGTTAGCAATTAGAAATAAGCTTTCATAATTCAAGGATGGATTGAACACAGTGATAAAAGGTAGAAGGGGCAAAAATGTGGCTCAGTGATAGGGTACAGGCTTTGCATATATGTGGTCTTGAGTTTAATTACCAGTTCCAAAAACGCCAAAAGATAAAATAGTTAAATGCATCCTAATCTATAACCAAAGACAATTTTATCCCAAGAAATAGAGTTAGAAATATGAAAAGAAATTACAAAAATCTTTAATAAGGAGTTGATACTTCCACTGACTTGCTCTGGTATTCCTATGCCACTCACAAATGTCTTATTTCCTATCTTAGTTTCGTTGTGTTTCAGAAAGCAATTTTTTGGGGTGGGGGTGACAGAGCTTAGTCTCTGCTAAGTATGACTCCTGGTGTTGCTCAGCCCAGCTGTTCACACCTGACAGTTCAGTGCTTGGGCCCTGGGTAAGGTGCTGCTCAGTTATAGCAGTGCTGGGAGCCAGCAGGACCATCCTCTCACTGTGAGCCATTTCCATGGCCCTGGAAAGGGAAATTTTCTTTTTGAAAAGAGACTTTTGGGCTGGAGCGATAGCACAGCGGGTAGGGCGTTTGCCTTGCATGTAGCCAACCCAGGTTCAATCCCCAGCATCCCATATGGTCCCCCGAGCACTGCCAGGAGTAATTCCTGAGTGCATGAGCCAGGAGTAGCCCCTGTGTATGACCCAGTGTGAACCTAAAAGCAAAAAAACAAAAAACAAAAAACAAAAAGAGACTTTTGACTAACTAGACAATCTATTTAAAATTGAACTAAGTAGGCAACTACTGAAATTTCTAACTATAACAGTTTGGGACCAGTAAAACAACCTTCAAGTGGGTGACCTGAATTAAAATAGAGCAATTGTGAGCAGTTTTATAGTTTTCTGAGTGATTTCTCAGGTGTTGATTTAAACATAGAAAACAGCTGAATTTATGAAGAAGTAGCAGTCTCTATTTAAACAGACAAAATGAAAGTATTGTTGTCATGAACTTAAAGAGGGAGGGAGGAAAACTGGAACAGTGTATTTGAATAATAATAATAGGCTCAGAGAGTCCATTAGTGTAAAACAGTCCATTTTAACTGTATAAACTTCCTGAGTTGAGTCTAAGAGACAGTCTGTGAATTAGACTATGAAAAATGAGGCAAATTAGAGTCACAGAGGTATCTGAGAGAAGGCATAGAGAGTATCATATTTTGTGCTTGCAGTGTTACAGTAAGAATTCCCCAAAGCAATCTTACCTTTGTTTTCTGCCTTCAATTCTTCTGCCATCAAGCTGTCTTGTCGGTTACCAAGGACAAATGCCAAAAACGAGAGGATCAGGGCATCCAAAATCCCAATAATAGCCAGGATGTATGCCCAGCGAACAGAACAAGCTCCAAGAGTGTACTTGTCTGTCTTTTCTCCACACATTCGTTTTACTTCATCGGAATCCCAGCCATCAGGGAAAATCATACAGCCAAGCACAAGGCAGGCAGCTTAAGAAAGACAAAAAGAAAAAGAAAAAGTGTTATCATCAATTTTATTTTCAGAAAACATCTACAGTTTGTCAACTCACTGTTTCATTCTAGATTTAAAGAACGGGCAATAGCACCACTGTTCCATCCGACTAATTCTTTCTGCTTAACTGCAGAGTGAAAGGGAGCTCTGGAACTGCACTGTGTAGTGAGTCTGCACATCCTGAGAAGGTATGTTGATCTATAAAACAGCAGTGAAAAATAGAATTCTGGTGTGTTTTTATGGCAAGGCTTCCATTGTAAATAGGTCATAAGGAATCATAACACTGCAGAATGACAATTCAATGCTGGCTTTGAAAAGCTATGACAGCAGCTAGATAAGGGATTAGGATAACAGGAAAAATATCAGTGTATATTGACTCTCAGTCACAGTAAAAAATAATTTCATACACTGACCTCCTATACACACACACGCACAGAAGCATCCACTGTGAAATTTTCTTGAAATTATACCTACCACATGCAATGCACTCTGTTATTTTTTATTCTATTCTCTGTTCTATTTCATATTTTAAAAGACTGAAAAATATGGCAATGGAGTGTGGCACCACAGAGCTTTTATGGAAATTCAGAAACTCAAGGAAAATACTTATTTTCTATTTTCAAAATATCTCTGAGGGAGTCATATGAACACTTTATATAAAAATATGTTACTCAGAAAATGAAAGAAGGCAAGTAAGCTATTGTTGCTATTCTCCTCACATAGAAACAATTTATGGACAAGTTATAATTGAGATAAATTCACTAGCTCTTTCCTTCCCTTTTAAATTTATTAAGTCAACACTTATTGAGTATCTCCTCTTGAGTACCAAATATGATTCTTGGATCAAGGAATATGGTACTCAGGAAAAAAAACATAGCTTTGTTAGCATAGAGCCTATGTCCTTGTCAGAAAAGAAGCAAATACAATTGAAAAAAAAAACCCCAGAAAACAAGAGCCATCATGTACATAAAGCAGTTGTAAGTTGTATTAAATATGAGGTAAAAAAGAAAGTATTTATATGGAGACTAAGAGGTGGGTCCTTCTTTAGAGTGGCAAATAGGTGAGTTCTCTTGAGAAGTTATTAAGAGGAGTATCTGAGGCATTGGACATGCAAAACTGTTAGGAAAGGTATTCCAGACAATGGCATGTGCAAAGTCCCCAAAGAAAAGAGACTGTGTTATGAATCTCATCAAGGAGATGAGAAAATGTGATGAAAAGATGATCATGCAGAGGTTGTTTCCAGGGCTAGCAATAGAAAGACTGATACCAACACTAAGATAGAATTCTATGGCTATTAGTACCAAAGAATTAAGTATTACTATCTGTTTTAGTACAAAAGGCAAAATTTAATTTTTCTTTAGGACTGAGTAAAATTCCTGCAATGGCCATTTTTCTGAATGTAACAAAAACCTGGATTTTTTTTGTTTTTTGAGCCCCACTCAGTGGTGCTCAGGGCTTACTCTTGGCTCTGTGCTCAGGGATCACTCCTGGCAGGCCTGGGGAATCATATGGGGTACCACAGATTGAACCCAGGTCAGCTGCATGTAAGGCGAGTGCCCTACCTGCTGTACTATCACTCTGGCCCCTGAAACCAGACTTTTTGAAATGCAATTAAAAAAATGTTGAGGTATCACTATTATAATAGTATCAAAATCATTGTTTTATGGTTGCAGAGGTGCTACACCAAGCCTTCCATCACTGTATCAGAATTTATTCTTGGAATTCTTTTTCTTTTTTTAAAACTGAATCACAGTGAGAAACAGTTACAAAGTTGTTCATGATTGGATTTCAGACATATAATGTTCCAACACCCGTCCCTTCACCAGTGCACATTACCCCCACCAATGTCCCCAGTTTCTCTCCCAGCCTCCCACCCCATCTGCCTCTATGGCAGACACTTTTCTTTCAGTTCTTTAGATCATGCCTTAGGGTTTGTTTCTACTGGAACTGTATAATTCCTCTCAGTGTCTTCACACTCTGTCAATGAAAGAGACCATCCAGTATTTCTCTTCATTTCTGACACTTCACTTGCATGACACCCTCCAGTTCTATCCAAGCTGTGACAAATCACAGGCTTTCATCTTTTCTTGTGGCTGAGAAGTATTGAATATTATATTGCATATACCATATTAAAAGTATATTCTCAAGAATCTAAGAGATATGGCTATTTAGAGAACTCTCAAGATGGGGTAATTATATCAGGTTTTGCCCTCTTGGAGAAAAATATCTAAGTTTTCTTAAGAAGTATAGTTTAGGTGGCCCTCAGGTGACAAGTCATGGGGATATCTCAACTTTATAAATAAATTCCACCATTTAACTCCAATTAAAATACAAATCCTATTCTTCTGAAAGTTGTGTGAATACATGTATTTTCTCTCCTCCTCTATTCAAACTTCCAATCCTTGACTGTTTTATTTTTGAAATACAAGAACTTCTAAATGTTCTAGTGTATTTAACTTAAGGTTTAAGTCACTGAAATGGTTAAACTAAAGGTTTTGTTGGTTTCTTTGGAAAGTATGATTTTTACAGTCTGTACTAATACTTGACAGCTATAATAAATTCTGCTTTCTGACATTCTATTAACCTAAACCTTATTAACCTGCACTATTTGTACAGCACCACTGAAAGCTAACAGTTGTTCCTAATCCTCTCTAAGAAGTACCTGCAAGATCCCAGGCTAATGTCTCAGTCAACCAATGATTAAGTAATTTTTTTTGGCTTTATAGCTGTTTCCAATTCTTTAAGAATTGATCATCCTGTAAGATGTAGCACCCTCTACAAAATATCACAGTACACAATATTGTGTGTACTGCACTAGGACATTTGATTAATTTGGACACACTGTTTTCTGTCCACAGGATAGAGGAAAATTAGATCCAATTGGGTTATTATCCCCAAATGGGTTTCTTATTAGAATGTCACCTTCTTCATAATTATATATTCCCTTCATTCCAGCAGCAGTTTTACCCGAAGTGTATCAGGGAACATTCTCGAATACTAAAATAAGCTGACAGGCTGGAGGTGAGCAGAGATGCATGATGAAAAGAAACTCACAATCTCAAAGTCCACTGTCACAATGTCTCTGACTTGGAATATATAATAAAGGCATCCTTGTGAGGGCATGGCTGTTGATTTCAATTTTAAACATACTCCAATTGGTGAGGAAGTGTCCCCATTCTCAAAGGAATCTCTGTGTAGGGGGCTCTGATGTCCACAAAGGGTTCTTCTGAGCTAGTATACAAACAGCTAGTAGTCCCCAGAGCCACTAATTACTCTGGTATTTTTTTTTTTGCCAATGAGCTGAATGTAACCTCTGTAAAGAAAATATCCTTAGAAAAATCCACAATTATTCTTAATTGGGTCTTTCTCCAATGGAAAAATGAAGCAAGATGAAAAACAACAACAACAACAAACAAACCTACAATCAGGGGTCTATAACTCGGGCCACATGGGCCAGCTGATATTGCTGGTCCAACTTCTTAGTCAGGACTTTTGAAGTTGTGAACGGAAGAACTGCTTATTTTTTGGACAGGAAGAGAAAGTCTAAATTCATCCTTTAAAAAGTCTACGCACTGTTGCACAAAAGCATGATAAATTGCCTGTGTTGCTGAAGCACTCAAGGGGAACTTGGTGGAGAAAAAAAAAGAAGCGGAATTCACTTAACTCTATCAATTATTCAGGCATACAGTAATTGAAGAAACTGATGCAGGCTGAGCTGCCAAACGCAGAAGGGGAACTTCCACATGAGTATTGTCATTCTAACTACCTGGAAAAGGGGTTAGAATCCTACTGCTTCTTCATCAGCATATGGGGGACAAATTGGACCTAGATATATTTGTGTAATCTCTTGGAAAGGTTTTCTATTTACACTCCAGTTTACAAATGAAAAAACTAAACAGCCGAGGATATAAAATAGAGAGGTATTGAGCCAGAGAGATATTAAAGTGGGTTAGGTGCTTGTCTTGTATATGATCCCACAAACACCACCAGGAGTGACCCCCACAGCACAGAGCCAGGAGTAAGCCCTGCGCATCATCAGGGGTGTCCTCCCCAACAACAATAAAACCAAATGAATAAAAAGATACAGAGGTGGAGAGTCTTGTGAGAAAGCAATCTGCTCATTGATAAAGCTTGGCTTCAAATCTAGCATAATTTTATGAGCATTTAGCTTGGGGGCTTGTAACACATAAGATACAATATCTTTTAAATGTGGCAGGGAGATAATTTCTTGATTAAGCGCACATCACATACCTTGCCTGGGTAGTCCCAGAGTTTATTCCCTGGCATCACATGGCTCCCCAAGTACTGCTGGGTGTGCTTCATTGCCAAACCCTAGCAACAAACCCTAACTTGATCGGAATTAACCACAATACCTTCACCACAGTGGAGAGAAGGCAATTGCCCTTGAACTTATGAATAACAGCTAGAGGAAAAACAGCATTCATAGATTGTAACAATACACTGAAGAGAAAGAATAACATTTCATTGTACAGCACAATTTGCTAATTTGCCCCAAACTGGAGGGTTTATTATCAAAGAAAATATAAATCAGAATTTGGTTCTTTAAATGCAACATAAATTTTTGTTTTGTTTTAGGGTGATGCTCAGCAATGCTCAATGGTTATTCCTGGTGGTTCCTGGGGGGACCATAGGATGTCTGAGATTGAACCTGGGTCAGCTGTGTGCAAAGCAATGCCTCACTTGCCATACTATCTTTCTAGCTCCAGCGTAGTTTTGACCTTTAGCATGTTAGGTATAACTGATGACTTTTGATAGGTATATGGAATCACACAAATACACTGAAATTACAAAGTTAATCTTACATGTCAAAATAATCACTGGTATTTCAAAGCTCACCATGCATGGGGCACACTACACAGGCATCATCTAATTTGATCCTCACAGCTCAGAGGAATATGAGAACACTACCTTCTAGTTCTGCTGACTACAAGATTTCCGTGAATTGTGGTTGGTGCCT